GAAGTGAGCACACCAGCCACCTTTCCTCCAAGAACTCTGGAACCGAACCAAACCCATGGTGTTCCAAACAACACAGTCCCCCTTCTTTCCACCCAACACATGGGTGACCTAGAGGGTCTCTTCCGGTCAGGAGACCCTAGCGTGGCTCTACTTCCTCTGCCTGCTTTTTGAAGCCAAGGGTAAAAGGATGGTGAGAACCCACATAGCTGGGTCACCCCAGGAGGCTTACACCTCAAAACTCCTTTGCGGTCTCCCCTCAAATTGCAATCTCTGACCCCTATGCCTTTAGTCCATTTTCTCAGTGGCCTCAGCCTTGGGTGGTGTTGTCTCAGCTGTTGTGAGCTGAGCTCCACGGGGCTGAGATTAGAGTTTGTTTGGTTTCGAAGGACTTTGGGCCTCAGCCATACCAATTTTCTTTCTGAACGGGCTGTGAATTAAGACCAGGGTACCCAAGTCTTGGAATGTTGGTCTGCAAGAGGCTTTTTATTCCTCCTCTGAACTCTCTCACCCCATACACCTTCCCCACTCTCTCAGCTGGGAGAGTCAAGTGTACTCTTGTAGAAAAGGCACTGGGCTGGGAGTCAGGAGACATAGGTTCTAGCCCTGGGACCATCAGGCATGGTTCTCTACCAGTTCCTTGGGCAAACATCTATTAAGTAGATTGTGCACTAGACTAAGTGCTCTACGTGCATTTTCCATTTCATCCTATCTACCACCCGGTGAGGTAAGGGCTATTTTTATCCCTGTCTTGTAAATGAAGAAACTGAGGTTCAGAGAGTACTACATTCATTAGTGCTAAGAGGGAAAAACACAGGAGCCAGGATTGGCTATTTAAAAGCTAGTTTAATTGCAATGAAACTAAAGACTTGCAAAAAAGGCTGGGATTGTGTCTCTCTCCCTGGCCCTGGCTGCAATGTGAGTTCTTTTATTTGTTTTAAGAATGGAAAGCCTTCAGGTTTGGAGAGGGAGGAGGAGGCAGGCAGCCAGGCAGAAGTACATAGGTTGATTAGGGCATCATGGCAGAGGGCAAAGTGCTGTAATGCACAAGGGCACTGAACTGAAAGCCTTAAGTTTCCAACAAGAGACTACGGGGAGAGGCCTCATGCTGTCTTGCCGGCATCCTCCCCACACAGACCAGGGGGGACCTTACACAAATTACAAGGGCCTCAAGCTTCTGACTGTAGAATGTATAATTCAGGGGCCAGATCAGATGGTCTGTAAAGGCAATTCCAGCACCGACACTCTATTGTCACGATGAGCAAGGTTGCAAATCAAACCTACGAGATATCCCTCATATCCATTAGGATGGCTACTATTAAAAATACCTAGAAAAGAAGTGTTAGCAAGGATGTTGAGAAATTGGAATACTTATGCACTGTTGGTGGGAATGTAAAATGGTGTAATCACTATAAAAAACAGTATGGCAGTTCCTCAAAAAATGGAAAATGGAATCTATCATATGATCCAGTAATTTCACTTGTGGATATATATCTAAAAGAATTAAAAGCAAGGTCTCAAAGAGATATCTGTACACTCATGTTCATAGCAGCATTATTCACAATAGCCAGAAGGTGGAAGCAACCCAGGTGTCCACTGGTGGATGAATAAGCAAAATGGGGTATATACATACAATGCAATACGATGGCCTTAAAAAGGAGGGACATCATGTCACATGCTACACGGATAAACCTTAAGGACATTATACTAAGTAAAATAAGCTCGTCTTAAAAGACAAATGCTGTATGATTCCACTTATATGAGGTATCTAAAATTGATAGAAATAGGAAGTAGAACGGTGGTGCCTGGGGCTGGGGGAAGAGAGAAAAAGGGAGTTAATGTTTAGTAGGTACAGTTTGTTTTGCAAGATGAAAACGTTCTGGAGACAGCATAACAGTGTGAAGGCACTAAACACTACTGAAGTATACATTTAAAAATGGTTAAAATGATAAACTTCATGTTGTGTGTTTTTTACTGTAATTAACAAAAAGATGAGCAATGATATCAGAGGGCCAGGGCTAGAGACCAGGGGAGGCTAGAGACCAGGGGAGGCTGGACATTGTGTGTGGGGGGGTCTCATAAGGCAAGGACCTTTCTTTTCTCATCAGAGTTCTTTTTGTATATGCGTTTGGGGTGGAGTGTCCCTACCAGGACCCTGGGGAAGGGCTCATATCATTAGAGCTATAGTATATATGCTGTGACCTGGGCCCTTGGCCGGGCCCCTCACAGGTGGAGGGCCTAGGACTTTCTTTAGGGAAGCCCTCCTCTGAAGACGGAGGATGGGAAAGAAACCCTCTGCCCTGCCCCATCCCCCTCAGCAATAGCAGCTGAGCTTCCAGGTATCTATAGAAGAGCCAGCCCCTTCCAGATGAAGGATGCAAATCCTTTCTCACCCCTGGTGCCCCCAGAGAGAAGACAGCCCCAGTGAGCCCCATCTGTCCTGGAAGAACTCAGGGACTGTTTACTATTGGATGCTGGTGCACACCACTGTGGTTCCACCTCCCGCAGGCCTGGCCTTGCTCTGTGTTGCCTCCTCCTTCTCTTCCTAAACTGGACAAACAGCTCCAGAGAGGCAAGAACTCCCCTCCGCCCACCTCCCCTCAGGAGGGTGGCTGACTGTGGGCTTTCAAAGCTCCTCTTCTGAGCACAGCCTCCAATCCCCTCCTCACTGCAAACCATCTGCCCCCTCCAGCTTCCCAGCTGCCAGCTCTGTGAAAAGCTTGGTTTTCCAGGTAGGCGTATGTAATGTGTATGTACTGGCCCAGTGAACGAGACCAGAAAGAAATACTCCATGTGTACGCAAGTAATAGTTTCTCAACTGTTTCTAAGGAATATTGTTGTCTTTATGATTCTTCAAGAAAAAAAAAAATGCATGAAACTCAGCTAAGCCCCTCTGGCTACCACTATAAGCACTCCCCAAATCCCTTCTCCTTCTCCTCCTTTTAACTACATAAGGACCTAGAATGTGTGAGGTTTTAGTAGCACTGGCTAACATGAGAGACAGGCAAAGAGAACAAGCAGCCAAATAACAGCCCCTATGCAAGTCTCAATCTGCACAGAATACTGCCTGCAACCTCACATGACCAGACCCCAGCTCAGCAAAGCCCTGAGTTGGCACTTGGGTCAGAGTAGCCAGTTCCTACACACATGCTTTCTTCACGCACAAAAGCCTCTCAAAGATGCAACTCAGATGGGGGGTGGGGAGGTTAGGGAGTGGGGTGCGAGTGAAGAGCCTCTGACAGACATGTGAACATGCTCCAGGAAGAGACGTTGGTGATGAATGGAGAAGCAGCTCAGAAGCAGGGTGGCCCTGAGGTCAGGAGTGGGTAGTATATGGCAGGGGCAGACAGTGTGTCCTTCCCCCTCTGGCTTAATTTGGGCCCATCCTATCCATCCTGGCTGGGAGTGCCTGCCCCTGAAGTCAAACCAGTCAGCTAAACTGTCAGCCAAATCTTCACCCACGCCTTCCTGCTCTGCTGGGGATGGAAAAGGGTGTGTTCCAGGAAGAATAGCCCCAATTTGTGGGGAGAGAGGGGTAGGGGTGGGATGGGGGGATCTACATATTTCACTGCTTCTCAGAAATGCAGCTCTTCTTCTTGCTCTTTCTTTGTCATTGGCGGGGGTGGGGCTGATTGATTCCTGATATTCTGGTGGTGAGGGATGATACTGGCCACCCCATACTCAGAAATAATCCTGATTCAGAGCAATCACCCTAACTAAGTCTCCCACCTCAGTGGCCCTGCCAGTACTATCCCTCAGCTCCTCCCACCTGCCTTACAGTGTTCCTTCCTGAGCCTCCTACCCCTTTGTGAGGGCAGCAGCAGGAGAGAAAGTCACAGCCAGGAAGAGTTGGAGTCAAGACATTAAGAAGACTGAAATCCCTAGAGATAAGCTCTAAGCTGTGAGAGAATCTGGAAAGTGGGGCTGG